AATTACGAACGAGGCCATGAAGCCGAAGCGACGCACCGAGGACAGCAGCGTGGCCGTAGCGTGGCGATGGGACGTCGCCCGTTGCCGCAACGGTCGTGCACTCGAGCGTCGTGAGGTTGAGCGAGCAGAGCTCGTTGAGCGCCTTTGCGGGGCTGGCGCGGCCGCCAAAGACGAGCATGGCGCCGTTGTGGACCACAGCCGAGTGGTGCATGCGCGCTGTCATGGGCGCGACATCGCACGTCTGCAGAATGGCCTTGGTGGCGGCGTCGATAACAACAACATCGCTCAAACGCGAGGTGCCTGTGGCTGTGGCACCTTGGCCGCCAAGCAAGTAGACGCGGCCCTTGTCTAGCCTCGCGGTGTGAGTGTGTGGAAAGAGAGAGTCGAGTGTGCGTACGGAGGACGCTCGTGTGGCCGGCGCGGGGCGCCTCGATCGCGGCGCGCGTTGCAGAAATCGACACGAGCTGCGTGCGCGGCGGTGCAATGAGCGACGACGAGAGCTCGGCCATGAAGCGCTGGGTCTTGCAGACGTTGGCCTCGAACTTTTCGTTGGCGATCGCAAGGATCCAGCGCAGGTACTCGTCGTCGACCATGAGCTTCCCGTTGAGCGCAATCGGGATTTCCATCGAGTTGGCGGTCGTTCGGATCGCGACCATCGTTCGCTTGTTGCCGAGGACGACGCCCGACTCGCGAAAGCCGCAGGCGAGACCGCACTGGAGCATGGCCTTGGCCGCCTCTTCGTCGCGACATTGCACGTGCATGATGAACGGCTCGTGCTTGAAGATGACCTGATGACAAGAAAAACAAGATTGGATGAGAGTATGGTGTTGAGATGCGTACCATGCCATTGAGCTGGGACGGGTCCGCGAGCACGGCCGCGTGCAGCTCGTCGTACGAGACGGGCGCGTGCGAGCTCACGAGCCATTTGCCGCCTTTCGTGATCAAGTGGTCGGCGCCGTCTTCGGCGACGCCGCAAAAGACAGCGATGCGGCCCGAGCAACTGCTGCTCGTGACCTAGACAATCGAGATGGTGAGCGCACGCGACGGCTGTACGAGGTAGCGTACGTAGTTGGGGTGGCCATTCACGGCTTCAATCATGTCGACGATCGGCGCATCGATGCTGCCCTTGGGCGACTTGTCGATCGCATCCTGGAGCTTCTGGAGCGACTCGCGCTTGGACGCATCGAACGCATGCAGCATCTTCACCAACAATATATGAGCAGCAAATCGTGTAGGATTAGTCCTGAATTGGGTCGAATTCGGCAATGTCCTATTTAGAGTCGGCGACAGCGCAGGCAACAAAGCCGAGGGACGGCAAGACAGACATGTGGACAGCACACACGCCATGATGGCCTTCTCAGACGCGAAAGCTTTGCATGCGTTTATCGCATCCGCGCTGTTGCGGCGTTGGTAGGTGCTGCAAGCACGTCCATTATTGCTTCACACGCACTGTCGTTCGGACCGTCGCGGCTCCATCGTGCACTCCACGAGCTTCACGAGGTTAGGATACGAGTACATCAATTTATACCCTTTAACTACAGTACACTATTGCATCTACACATGTACAGTGCGTGCACAGGCTAGTTTGAGCCGATTGCACAAGCGTTTACAGGCTGCAACCAAGATGCACACACGACGAAACGGCAAAGTGCACTTTGGTCCTCGGTGCAACGTGACCGCCACGTCACCTTCCACTTGGCTCGCACGACCTGTACTTTTGTTGTCGTACGCGCGTGCTCGGCGACCGAAAAGCCAGTCGTCGAACCAATAAGATCTCGTTGTCGTGTCAAGACTAGGACGGTATCATCGTCCGCGTGCATGGCAGCGCCCGCCACTTCAGGTATACTGCCATGACCTCGTCCACCGGCTCGTTGAAGCGCACCACCAACGTGGCGCGTCTCTTCTGCAGCAGAATGGACACGAGTGGTTGTTTCTTCTATCGCATGGACGGCGCAGTGTGCACGGTTTGATGATTGCAGAACGGCGCGAGAAGAGCCGGGAGGAAACCATCTTCATCATACCCGCTTGCAGCACGCGCCTTGACGGTCTTGCCTTGACAAGGCCCACGGGTGTAACTCTGACGTGGCGCGCTGGTGTACACTTGACGCATTACAAAACATTATTTCACGGCCAAGTCGGATCATTCAACAAAAGACAATGCCTTGCGACGTCGTGTCCATCGCGACATGCTTGTCTGGCAACGAGACGGTTGTGTATTCACTGCAAGCGACGGTCAAGGGTTATTCACCCTTGCGTTGGTGAGGCATATACCGGGTATATGCGACCCATCATATGGGAGGTCGCCTACCCTGTGCCCTGTACAGCGTGTTCTGCGTCATTCGATTGCTCCGTGGCGCCCACCTTTATTTTTTGCCACGTCCTCCGTGGTGTCGCGTCGGTTTCTGTCCATGCAGAGCCAGCTGCAACGTCACCATGCGGGTCCACCGGTCAAGGGCATGATGTCTCGTATCGCCAGCCATCCGCTGCGCGTGACACGGCCGGCCATCCAGAAGTTGCTCACGGTGGGTTGCATTTCGTACGCTCGGTAGCCAGCGCTGGCGCACCACGAGCTCACGAGCGCGTCGTCTCTGTGTTTCGCGCCGCCTTGCCGCCACGTAGATTGCACCGTAGATCCAGCGACGTGCGCGGGAGAAGATTCCGCGGAATTCTGCCGCGACAGCCAATCAGCCCCTCGTATGACTCATAGAGACCGGGCAGTGGCTACCATACGATCCAATGGCCTCCGACTCCTTGGACCAAGGCGCACGCGACACGGAGCGCAGCGAGAGGCGCTCGCACTGGGACATGCTTGCAGATGTGGCACACGCGGTCTTGCTTCGAGACGCCGGCGGCAATCGCTAAACGGGTATGGACGACGAAACCAAGGCGAACCGCCTCCGCCGGCGGCGCGAGTACCGCAAGCTCGACGCCGCCGGGCTCCAGTACCTCCGCGACCGCGTCGTGCAGCTCACTGCGCAGCTTGAGCAGCT